CCTCCCCAGTAGCAAGAGGACTGTGCAATGTTGCCGTATAACCTGGTGTAATAACCTCCATCCATTTTAAACATGTCATCGTAAAGCAACATATAAGCAGTATGTACTCATGTCATCAGAATGTCAGAACAAAAACTTGCAGATTGGACGGCCAAACGGCTCGAGCATACTGAACACTTGGACTATTCGACTTCTTGATGTTCACTAGATTGCGAAACCCGACAGACTGCTAGAAAACCGGGATATTTGAAAGGCAAAAATGTAGTAAACGTTTCCCTAAAACATGGTGGAACAACATTCAAAAATGAATGAAACTTGTGCCAACTTTGTGATGCCAAATCAATGATCTAATATTGATTTATATTAAATTAACGTTTCAATAATCATATTTAATAGTTCCAAATTATCCTGATCTTTGACTATGACAGATGACTGTGATGGGAACGATTTCGAGTAGTTTACACTTAACTTTAATCAAAACAGGATCGCGTTAACTTGGAATTCGATATGGCACAGTATGGTATACATCCTACCCATAAAAACGGGGGACGCCCATTGCAAACGTTTCAACGATTGGTACTGAGGTTTCGGCGAAGCCCGTTTGTTTATGTGAGTGTTGCGTAAGAAAATTAAGTAGTAGACGCATGTCGTGAGTCGAAGCGAAGGTTCGATCATTTCACTCAATGCTTGTCGATGTTGAAACGACGGCCGGCACATGATTGATGGTGTCTCTGACTCATCACGCTGCAGCAGAGAACCGACGAGCTGTTGTCGGAGGAGCGTAGGCGAGTATCGCAGCGAGGAGGAGACAAACGAGTCGCTGGTGTGAAGGCTAGAAATTGCGAAGAACCGAAAGTAGCGGCTGTCTGATGCTCGTCTCATCGACACGAGAGTGCTAAGTACCTATCCCACTGACTCGAAGGGAAGACGGATATGGATATTTTTCAGTCACCGAACAAATCTCCTGGATCGGTCTTCGAACAAATGGTCAAAGATGCGTACTACGGAGCCAAACGACAAGCAAACCGGAGCCAGACGACGATCGACGACAATCGCATGCAGGAGATGAACCTTCCTTCGTATGGCACGATCGCTGATAGCACCGAAGACCCTGGCCGTAACGTGTACGAGATGATTGGCTTCGACCAGAAACGGGGCCCAGTCAAAGACGTGTGGGTGGCGAACATCGACCCGCCGACGACGATCGACTACGAGCCGAGCGTGCGGTACGGCAATCGCAGGCACTACAAACGGTACGGCACGCATGACCCCCTGTACTTCAACTCGGACTTAGAAGAAGTGGCCGAAAACTACCGTTACTCGCGGATGAACGCGCTGACCGCTCGACCGAAACACTGGGAATACGAAATGCTGCAGCAGGTAGCGAAAGTGAAGGGCGAAAAAGCGATCGCCCCCTACCTATTTGTTCACAAAGACATGAATCCGAGGTCGACCAATACCAGTCTGCTGTCAGCCGCTTTGCGGACACCGTCTTATTGGACCTATCGCTTTCAGAATCTGTCTTAATCCCCCCCCCCGAAGCACCGGGATGCTGCAGTGTTACGTCTGGTTTGTTTTCGTTGTTGATAGTAAATGTCCGTTCTATTCACGTCGTCTTGTTTTACACTGCGGCGTGCTCGCTCGTCTGATACGCTCTTTAGAATGATTGACGACAGGAAAGCTTAAATCTGTGCAATACGGATTTCCGAAATCATTGCCATTCTAGATTCGAGTGGCGGAATGATGCCATTTGCCGTTCGTTTTCTCATTTTATCGCGAAACATCGTCATTCAACTGAGTCATCGTTGTTTCTTTAAACATGAGGGAGAAGCGAAAATGACAGTTTCTAACCGTTGGAATGTCGGCTCTCCGATACGCTTTCGCAGTGCATAAAATGTGGCATCTTTTTTCCATGTTTTTATAGTGCAGTGCTGACATTCGCACTTATGCGTTCGGTCAGGAGTATTTAATTATAAAGGGAGGGCGACTGTAGCTATACGGCAAATACATCTAATAGTGGCACCCGCGCAATCATTTTTGAAAGAATCAAAGGCGAATGACTCAACCAGAGCGTCGAATCTAACATCTGTCGACTGAGTCTGACTGTCTACCGAATGAAAACCCGTATTTAAAGAGACTGATAACAAAATGCTTATTACACTGAACTTAGTTCGGGTTTGTAATCAACAACAACAAATAAACTTACCCTTCTTCGTTATCAACGAGGAATACCATGGCCTAGACTTGACGCGATTTGTCTGCACAAGCTTTTTCATTTCTCTGTTGCCTCGTCATCCCAGTTCGGCCGGGTTCTTTCTAATGTGCGCTTGCAGTCCCTTGGGCACCTATCCGTCGTTGATGCAATGTTTTATAATCATTAGAAACAAATTTTGATGGTCATGCGGTAGAATATAAGTAGAACCAGTTGCTGAAACACCATTCGTGATAATAGTGAAGTTGCTCTGACAAATTAACAGATGCGCGATGCATCGTTATTGCAGATTCTCGAATTCCATCGACCTGTGATGCGCCTATGTACCCCCCCCCCCAAATGTAGGCAGCCAGGAATCCGTTGCGGAACAGGCACCC